ATGGGAAAATCTTGTTTTAAGGCTCAGTCAGAATGTGCTCAAATTAAGACACATTCTTCCAGATTTGAGCCATTTCTGACTTATTTTTCATCAGTTTTTTTGCAGTGTATAGTGATCTTCCCCTTATGGACCAATGGCTCTGTGTGTTTTGCATTTCTTATTTTTGAACTGTTTGGTTTTCTGATCTATTTTGTGGCAAATTCAACCGGTTTTAGGGCTATACAAAAAACGAATTGAAATTGAACTGAATATCTTCTTCTATAAGTATAGGACTGTCTTTTTTGAACGAATCGCTTGAATGAAGAAGATAAAAAGAAGAGCATTTCTCGTCTATTTTTTACTCTCGGGTGTGACCCCTGCTCGACTTGCGGTAGCGGCAGAATGATTTATTTCAGGCGGCTCATGTTACTGCTTTGCCCACTTCCACTAGTGGGAAGGAGGCCATTCCAGACTCTCTCAGCTTTCCCACACACAGACACAGCACTAGCCAAAAGTTTTCCTAAAGTTTTCCCCACACCAAGCTAGCATTACACATTGACTTTGACATGTTTTTCTTTATCATTGCCGCTGTTTAAACGACCAAATGTTGTGTTAATAACGTACAGCTAAATGTGTTATTACAGATAACGGTTAACTTTCCGTGGGGTTAAAGAGTAACAGGTTTGCAGCGGCGGTCTTTAAGTTGACGTCATGATTTGTGGTGAGTGCAGGGGATCTGTAGACTGTGGGGATTCCAGGAAAGGAAAGTTTAATCGTATGGCACGGTTCATAGACAAGGTGCTTCAAGAAACAAGAGAAGAAACAAAATCGTACAAGGCGTTAAAATCACAGTGCATTATAAAGTGTGACGATGCACTGTAAAAAAATATACAAAATGGGGGAATAATGGCTTGAGTCAAGTGGTTTTTATCTTAATTGTGATAAAAAAATTAAAAACAAGATCATTGTTCTTTGTTCCATTGGCAAATCCATTCAGAATGTGCTTGAATTAAGATACATTTTGCCATATTTTGTGTAATTCTTGACTTATTTTTAATCAAAGATACAAGCCATGTATCTTTCATGAATCAGAATCAGCCATGGATCAGAAAATATTGCAACAGCTCTTGAAATAAAATGGCTAAAAGGCTTTGTTTTATTAGAGAATCTTGTCAAAATGTACTCAAATTGGGATAAAATGTATGTATATATGTAAATTTCTTCATTATGCGATCACTAAAGTTCTTAAAAACAATCAATTCAAGCATTTATTACCCCATATTTTATCATTCTCTAACATTGTCAGAGAAGAAGCCTGTCTCACATCTTCAGGAAGACGGTTCCAGATTTTAGCAGGATGAACCTCAAACGCTGCCTCCCCATGTTTAGTCCTGGCTCTGGGACCAGCAGGAGTCCAGTCCCTGTGCTCCTCAGACTCTGCAGAAGATTTACTGTTTTTGGACAAAATCCCAAAAGTTGGATCCACAGATGTTGAACCATGTATTTGTTTGAGGGATCGGCTTCAGGACGGCAGCTTCGACTGTTTTAGTAATCCTGTAATCTATTGGTTATTACTAATTATTTATCACATCAGTTCTTTATTGCAAAATCAGCATGTCGAATTCAGAGCTGCTAACATGTGCAAAGCAAGTTTATTTATGTAGCACAGTTCATACACAAGACAACTCAAAGTGCTTAACAAAACAAGATATACACAATTCATAAATAATCACAGTACGATAAAAATCCTTCAGTTGTCTGTAGCTAAACAGAACTGTGTTTAACCTGGATTTAAATATTGTCAGAGAAGAAGCTCTAGCTCCAGACTCTGGGCACCAGCAGGAGGCCAGTAGTATTGCACCCTCATGCTGCTAACATGTACAGTAGTATTGCACCCTCATACTGCTACATGTACAGTATTGCACCCTCATACTGCTAACATGTACAGTAGTATTGCACCCTCATGCTGCTACATGTACAGTAGTATTGCACCCTCATGCTGCTAACATGTAGTAGTAGTAAGTAATCTTTATTTATATACCGCCTTTTCACTGCACATCGGAGTCTCAAAGCGGTTTACAATTGTTATTTTTGGGAGTGGGGGTCGCCAGTACAGGAGGCACATGCCAGAACTATTGTACATATTTTTAGTGGTAGGGGAAACCGGAGCACCCGGAGGAAACCTACACAGACACGGGGAGAACATGCAAACTCCACTCAGAAAGGCCCTGGTCCGACCGGGATTCGAACCCAGGACCTTCTTGCTGAGAGGCGAGAGTGCTATCCACTCAGCCACCGTGCCGCCCTGTACAGTAGTATTGCACCCTCATGCTGCTAACATGTACAGTAGTATTGCACCCTCATGCTGCTAACATGTACAGTAGTATTGCACCCTCATACTGCTACATGTACAGTAGTATTGCACCCTCATGCTGCTAACATGTACAGTAGTATTGCACCCTCATGCTGCTAACATGTACAGTAGTATTGCACCCTCATGCTGCTAACATGTACAGTAGTATTGCACCCTCATGCTGCTAACATGTACAGCAGTATTGCACCCTCATGCTGCTAACATGTACAGTAGTATTGCACCCTCATGCTGCTAACGTGTACAGTAGTATTGCACCCTCATTCTGCTAACATGTACAGTAGTATTGCACCCTCATGCTGCTAACATGTACAGTAGTATTGCACCCTCATGCTGCTAGCATCTACGGTAGTATTGCACCCTCATGCTGCTAACATCTACAGTAGTATTGCACCCTCATGCTGCTAACGTGTACAGTAGTATTGCACCCTCATGCTGCTAACGTGTACAGTAGTATTGCACCCTCATGCTGCTAACATGTACAGTAGTATTGCACCCTCATGCTGCTAACATGTACAGTAGTATTGCACCCTCATGCTGCTAACATGTACAGAAGTATTGCACCCTCTTACTGCTAACATGTACAGTAGTATTGCACCCTCATGCTGCTAACATGTACAGTAGTATTGCACCCTCATGCTGCTAACATGTACAGTAGTATTGCACCCTCATGCTGCTAACGTGTACAGTAGTATTGCACCCTCATGCTGCTAACATGTACAGTAGTATTGCACCCTCATACTGCTAACATGTACAGTAGTATTGCACCCTCATGCTGCTAACATGTACAGTAGTATTGCACCCTCATGCTGCTAACATGTACAGTAGTATTGCACCCTCATGCTGCTAACGTGTACAGTAGTATTGCACCCTCATGCTGCTAACATGTACAGTAGTATTGCACCCTCATACTGCTAACATGTACAGTAGTATTGCACCCTCATGCTGCTAACATGTACAGTAGTATTGCACCCTCATGCTGCTAACATGTACAGTAGTATTGCACCCTCATGCTGCTAACATGTACAGTAGTATTGCACCCTCATGCTGCTTACATATACAGTAGTATTGCACCCTCATACTGCTAACATGTACAGTAGTATTGCACCCTCATGCTGCTAACATGTACAGTAGTATTGCACCCTCATGCTGCTAACATGTACAGTAGTATTGCACCCTCATGCTGCTAACATGTACAGCAGTATTGCACCCTCATGCTGCTAACATGTACAGTAGTATTGCACCCTCATGCTGCTTACTTACACACATACATATTGTTTTGAGTCTTCAGGTCAAGACTCTTTCATAAACAGTTGTGCAATACTGAACATTCACTTCTCTTTTCTTGTGTTGTGTGCCCCTCATTGCGACTGGTTCTTAACCTGTGATGCAACACTGGAATTTCCCCGCTGTGGGACGATATACAGGTTCTCATAACTTAATCTTAATTACAATAAATGGCAAACATTTTGTATTTATTTTATTTTTGTGTGAAAATCAGTTTCTATAGATTACACACAAAGTAAAGGTATACACACACACACACCCACACACACACACACACACACACACACACACACACAAACGTACATATACACACATATAGGAGAGAAAGCAACAGACAAGAGAATAAGAAAAAAAGAACGTTTTAAAAGACAAAGATAGGTGGGATTAAGAATACATAGAATATAAACAATACAAAGTATTTCATCTTCACTCTTTTAATGCTCTGTGATTACTCTTTTGTTCAGCACTTTGAGTTTCCTCTTGTATGAAGTGTGCAATACAAATAAACTTGCCTCGCCTTTAGACCCAAACCCATTTCCAGCCTCCACAAACGATCCCACCACAATACCTCATGCTGTGCCTCGTATTATTCACATCAACGTATGGTCCTGGTTCCTGCCTTTACCTTAACATCAAAGCAGTGTGTGTGTGTAAAAACCTGTCTTCACACATCCCAGACACAATAGTGGCATTTAATTATGACTTGACATGAAAATCTTACATATTGCTACTTTAGACATAAAAAGCAGATAAAGAAGTAAAAAAAAAAGCCTTCAAAAGCTTCAGCATATCCAAAATACCGCTGCCAGGATCCTGACGAGGACGCCGAAGCACCAGCACATCACCCCAGTCCTCCGCGATCTTCACTGGCTTCCAATCATCCAACGCATCCAATGCAAAATCTGCCTCCTCACCGACCAATGCATCCACGGACATGCCCCGGACTATCTCACAGAACTTCTCACTCCTCCGCCCATAACCAGAGCACTCCGGTCCACAGACACCAACCTCCTCTCCATCCCCAGAACTAAACTCCGGACAATGGGTGACAGGGCTTTCCAGGCGGCTGCTCCCAAACTGTGGAACGCCCTACCACCACACCTGAGGGCCCCACAGTCATTGGAGAACTTCAAAAGAGGACTTAAAACTTTTCTGTTCCCTTCTTAACATTTGTTTTAACATTGTTTTAACTTTAATGATGTGTGCTTTTATTGTTGTTGTGCTGTAGCACTTTGAGATTTGTATGTAAAGTGCATTACAAATTAAAGGTATTATTATTATTATTATTATTATTAAAATGCTGCACCATATTTCCCACTGGCTGCATGTGTAAAGTTGAACAGACGTCTGACCCACAGGTGTGATGGAAAAACTGGGACTGGGGCCAAAAGAACTGCTCAGAGAAAACCCTGGACTCATCTACGCTCGATTGACAGGATACGGCCAGACTGGACCTTTGTCCCTCGCTGCCGGACATGACATCAACTACCTTGCATTGTCAGGTAACGGCTAATGCTAACAGCTAATGCTAACAAGCTAACAGCTAATGCTAACAGCTAATGCTAACAGATTCAGTTTATTTGCCATTTGCAGTAAAAAAAAAACACATTGGAATACATTAGCAAAAAGTTTCAGAAAATAACTGGTGATGAATAATAGCATATACAATAGATTGACAGGATACAGCCAGGACATGGCATCAACTAACTCGCACTGTCAGGTAACGGCTGAACGATGGGTCTGGCAGGTACGACCTCGCTCCCTTTGTGACTGTGGTCTGTGAAAGGCACTATATAAATAAAGATGACTTGCCTTAGTAGAAATTAATCTTTGCACAGAGTAGGGTTGGGCGATATGGGCCTCAGCATGTATCACGATTTTTGTTGGTATGTATCACGATATGACGATATGATAATTTGAACAAAGCCTCATATAAAAGCTATAAAAACTTTAAACACACTTGCCTCAAAGTGCATTTACTGATTTATTGGCAGCAAAATGTGTAATACAGCTATTGTATATAAAACGTATTAACAAAACTGAATTGTAGAGAATTCTGTTTTGTACATACTGAAAATTGCAGGCAACATGTAATGAAGGTGAACATTTGTAATTTGTAAAATATATAAAAGTTTGTCCTTTGTAATATAAAAAGTGTAGCATTATCAAATAATTATTTGATCACTTTGGCTTATGTTTCCTAATCCCAATATAGTCAAAATGATCAAATACTGTATATATTTTTTGTATCCTTTTGCGTTTCTATAATTATGTAATTATAACTTATTTGTAATTATATTGCAATGTAGACAAACACATTCATTGAAGTAAAATGAATGACAGTAAACAGTAAATAAAGCTTACCAATGGCACTATGAGAGAGAGAGAGAGAGAGCGAGTGTCCAAAGCAAGCCACTCGAGTCCAGTTGTTTAGGGCAGCTGCTTTCACAACATTAGATCCACTGTCGATAGTTACAATTGCTTCTTTTTATCTAGTTCCCAAACTACTCCCATATGTTTGAGGTAGCTCCGCGTTTTGGCACAATGTCTTCTACAATCTGCATGTCTTCACCATGGTCTTCACCGCCGCCCTCAGCCATGTTTGCTCTCTGCTCTGTTGTTGTTGTCCCTGCACGCCGCTCTGCTACACGTGCCGCGCAGATGCGTCATCAAAGTGCGCCGCACACAAACGTGTCTTCCGCTCGCTGTTTTCAGTGTTAAATGATCGTTTTCACCGGTATAAGGCATTTTCTTATCATTTAATTTACTTATACCGGTATACCGGTGCAACAAAAATATCGCCCAACCCTAGTACAGAGTTACAAAGCCCTTTACAATTGTTGTTGGCAGTTGTTCGCCCAGGAGGCAATTGAGTACTATGTTTTAAAAAATAATATAAAGACACAGGCAGAACATGCAAACTCTCCGCCTGGAGGTGGAATCGAACCTACATCATTCATTTACAGGTGTTTTCGCTGAATAAAAACCTCAGACCAATATTTTTCCAGAGCGAGGAACTAGTGGAAAGTATCTCCCCCAACAGACAATATATTTTACGAGTGAATATTAAAAATGCGTACTTTTTACACTGATGAAAAACGATACATTGTTTTATTTACAACGCTACACAACAGCAAAAATGCCAAGAAGATATAGAAATTGTCCAAAATTGCCAATATTAATTAAGGAACATTTTGACGGTCTTAAAACAAGATTTGCCATTTGGAGAAAGAAATACATTTTCTAAATCTGTGCTTAAAATTAGACTAAAGCGGGTTGTTCTTTGTTTTAAGAAGTGTTTTCAAATCAAGATAAAATCTGCTTTATCCAGTGTCGGTCATCATTATGTCGCGCTCTGTCACTTTTGTCCCAATGAAGTAGCTCCTCCAGGACAAAGGTTGGAGATCCCTTATCATAGTTATAGTATATTTATTCTTATTTCAACTTTAATTCAGGCACACAAAAAGTCCATACAACACAAAAACAGACAACAAAATACAGACAAAAAAAACACACAATACTTTATTTATTTAATCTTTAATTCAGACACACAAAGAGTTCAAATACCACAAAAAAACAGACAACAACATTTCAAAAAAACACACAAGTAGTATAGTAGTAGTTGCATACCCTAGCTTTTTAGTAGCTTGAGTACTTCTTCCACCACTGCCTTGAACACACATTGAACAGTTGCAGGTAGATCGATAATGGAACAAAGGTTGTGTGATTGATTGTGTGTCTCTGTCCCCCACAGGTGTGTTATCACGGCTGGGGCGCAGCACAGAGAAGCCCTACGCTCCACTGAACCTGGTGGCAGACTTTGCCGGCGGGGGCTTGTCCTGTGCTTTGGGGATTGTCCTGGCGCTGCTGGAAAGGACCAGGTCGGGGAAAGGCCAAATCGTGGACGCCAGCATGGTGAGAGTGTGCGTTTATTTGTATCGATAGATGGATAGATACTTTATTGATCCCCGTCAGAGAAATTCAGGTGTCCAGTAGCAGAAATAAAAATAAAATTGATCATTCCAGATCATCTCTGGAACAGTCTGCCGGAGGAGCTCAGGGCCGCAGAGAACGTTCATATTTTTAAGAGTAGGCTCAAGAGCGCACCTTTTTAGAGAAGCTTTTGATTAGTATTTATTATCTATTATTGCTTTTTAGTACATCTATTTATGTTTTTAGACGGATTATATTTTTATTTATTTTTATTATTTACTATTTTTAATTATTTATTGTATCTACCCATTTACTATTGTTATTATATTAGGCAGCTGCCATTTTTCTTTTTATTTTCACATTCTATTGTTCTACTTTCTATTGTATTATTGTATTGTTTTAGTGTCCCCAGTGTTTCCTCTGGAGGAGCCCTCTGCACTGAGAGCTGGGGTCTGCTGTGGCTTCGGGGGACTGGCTCTTGGATCCGGTGGGGGTCTGGGGCCTCCTCTCTCCTCTGGGTCCTATGGGGTCTGAGTCCTGGGCCTGGTGGGGTCTGGGGCCCCTCTCTCCTCTGGGTCCTGTGTCGTTGCCTGTGGCTGCAGCCGGCTCTCTGCTCCTGGTGCAGATGGCTCCTTGGATGACGCTTCTTCAGCCGGTTACATCTGCTCCCAGCCCCATTTCTTTTTATTGTTTTACCTATTTTACCTGATATGACTTTATACTTGTGTGTGTGTGTGTGTGTGTGTGTGTGTGTGTGTGTGTGTGTGTGTGTGTGTGTGTGTGTGTGTGTGTGTGTGTGTGTGTGTGTGTGTGTGTGTGTGTGTGTGTGTGTGTGTGTGTGTGTGTGTGTGTGTGTGTGTGTGTGTGTGTGTGTGTGTGTGTGTGTGTGTGTGTGTGTGTGTGTGGGTGTGTGTATTGTATATATAATTATAAATGTGATTTTGGGGGGTCTGTGGGGAGGAGGGTTTAGGGCTGGGCATGTTGGATTGTTTTTAACTAAACTGTAAAGCACTTTGTGTTACACTTTTTGTATGAAAAGCGCTTTATAAATAAAATTTGATTGATTGATTTGATTGATTATAAAAAGCTAACAATAGCCCTTCAGGTCACAGCAGCAGAGGGGGAGTAGCCTCTGGGTGGAGCAGGACGGGTCACAGCAGCAGAGGGGGAGTAGCCTCTGGGTGGAGCAGGACGGGTCACAGCAGCAGAGGGGGAGTAGCCTCTGGATGGAGCAGGACGGGTCACAGCAGCAGAGGGGGAGTAGCCTCTGGGTGGAGCAGGACAGGTCACAGCAGCAGAGGGGGAGTAGCCTCTGGGTGGAGCAGGACAGGTCACAGCAGCAGAGGTGGAGTAGCCTCTGGGTGGAGCAGGACGGGTCACAGCAGCAGAGGTGGAGTAGCCTCTGGGTGGAGCAGGACAGGTCACAGCAGCAGAGGGGGAGTAGCCTCTGGATGGAGCAGGACGGGTCACAGCAGCAGAGGGGGAGTAGCCTCTGGGTGGAGCAGGACGGGTCACAGCAGCAGAGGGGGAGTAGCCTCTGGGTGGAGCAGGACGGGTCACAGCAGCAGAGGTGGAGTAGCCTCTGGGTGGAGCAGGACGGGTCACAGCAGCAGAGGGGGAGTAGCCTCTGGGTGGAGCAGGACGGGTCACAGCAGCAGAGGTGAAGTAGCCTCTGGATGGAGCAGGACGGGTCACAGCAGCAGAGGGGGAGTAGCCTCTGGGTGGAGCAGGACGGGTCACAGCAGCAGAGGGGGAGTAGCCTCTGGGTGGAGCAGGACGGGTCACAGCAGCAGAGGGGGAGTAGCCTCTGGGTGGAGCAGGACGGGTCACAGCAGCAGAGGTGGAGTAGCCTCTGGGTGGAGCAGGACGGGTCACAGCAGCAGAGGGGGAGTAGCCTCTGGGTGGAGCAGGACGGGTCACAGCAGCAGAGGGGGAGTAGCCTCTGGGTGGAGCAGGACAGGTCACAGCAGCAGAGGGGGAGTAGCCTCTGGGTGGAGCAGGACGGGTCACAGCAGCAGAGGGGGAGTAGCCTCTGGGTGGAGCAGGACGGGTCACAGCAGCAGAGGTGGAGTAGCCTCTGGGTGGAGCAGGACGGGTCACAGCAGCAGAGGGGGAGTAGCCTCTGGGTGGAGCAGGACGGGTCACAGCAGCAGAGGTGGAGTAGCCTCTGGGTGGAGCAGGACGGGTCACAGCAGCAGAGGGGGAGTAGCCTCTGGGTGGAGCAGGACGGGTCAAAAGGTGGAGTAGCCGCTGGGTTCGGACCATTTTCTCTGCTCTAGTCCAAAGTAAAAGGCTGAATGGTTCATTAGCATTTTTCAAAAAGTTAGCATTCATCCAGTGGATTTTCATCTGATCCACTTGGTTCGGACCATGAATCCTCTCTGCTCTTCTTGTATCGCCCTAAATCACAACAGTCGTACATCTCGGAGCACTTTACAAAACCGTTGAATTCGCCAGAGAATAAAACGGTTCAAACTCTGTCCCACTCAGAAGTATGTACAATGTGTTGTCATGGAAACCTATATTATTCCTGCTCGAGCGTTTTTTGGAAAATGTCTTCATTATTTTGTTTTTCTTATGTGCTTTGGGTGACCTTGGTCTGTAAAAAGCGCTATATTAATGCACATTACATACCTGCTTACTTATTTTTAAGTACTTATTTTCTATATTCAGTTCCTGCTGGTCCCAGAATCAGGACTAAACACGGGAGGCAATGTTTCAGATGTATACAGCTTAAATCTGGAACAGTCTTCCTCTAAATGTGAGACAGGCTTCTACTCTGGCAATGTTCAAAGGTTAAAAACAGTACAAGGATAATATTTTCACTCTATTAATGTTCTTAGCTATGATTTGAATGCCTTCTATGATGTTCTGTCAAAACACTTTGAGTGGCGTATATGTATTTGTGGCACTAAAATCTTTCTATTCAAAACAACTACTTGATATAGAGCTAATTTTAAGCCTGTCAAATATGTTTTTAATGTCACATTTCTGTTTTCTGATTTATGTACGTGTAAAAACAAAGTCAGGACGAATGCGCAGCTTCTTTGCGTGGCTTAAAATCAGGACCAAGGACAGCGCGGTGCGTCAGTCTCCGCTTGGATTCAACAGTGAAACTTTCTCTTGTCATGAACGAGCAGCAGAGCAAAGATGTCTGAGGACTGTGTGGACGTAGACAGACCCTCTGGTTTAATCCACACTTCTTTAAACTTCACCATCCTGGGTCCTGCAGATCTGGATTTCAGTAGCTGATGGGGATGTAAATAAAAACTAACAAACAAAACAAACTACGACAACTACTAAGTGAATCTAGTCCTAACCTGAAGTCGGGGTTTTTCTCCTGCTTGGTTGGAATGAAATTCTGCAGCCGTAACAGAATTCTGAAACCACTAGGACTTCCATTCAAATTATTAGAATTCTGAATTTAGTTTTTTCACTGCTTTTAATCAAATGAAGTTTGTTTATATAAGCGCTGAAACTGCTTAACATAAATGAAATACAGAAAAAACGGAATAACTACTGAATAATTGTGTGTTGCTATGGTAACCCACACTTGCTCCAAGCTGAGATTTCTCTGAACCAGATTATTACCAGTAAAGGACCAGTCTAGGGACCAGTCTGGGACCAGTCTAGGGACCTGTCTAAGGTCCCTGTCTAGGGACCAGTCTAGGGACCAGTCTAGGGACCAGTCTAGAGACCTGTCTAGAGACCTGTCTAGAGACCTGTCTAGAGACCTGTCTAGAGACCTGTCTAGAGACCTGTCTAGAGACCTGTCTAGAGACCTGTCTAGGGACCTGTCTAGGGACCTGTCTAGGGACCTGTCTAGGGACCTGTCTAGGGACCAGTCTAGGGACCAGTCTAGGGACCAGTCTAGAGACCTGTCTAGGGACCTGTCTAGGGACCTGTCTAGGGACCTGTCTAGGGACCTGTCTAGGGACCTGTCTAGGGACCAGTCTAGGGACCAGTCTAGGGACCAGTCTAGGGACCAGTCTAGGGACCAGTCTGGGGTTGAGATGATTTCAAAAACATAATCACTAAACTACATTTAGATTCAGGAGAAGTCAAAAGGTTATGAAGACCTAAAACATACATAGGTGGAGTAACTACACTTCCGTCAAACTGACTGCTCTGGGAGGGTGTTAATTATAGTTATATTCATAGTCGCCATGGTTACTGATGGTACAGATGACTCCTACTGGGGTTCAGGCAGTGACCAAGGAGCTGCAAACCCAAATTAAACTCGTATGCTGTCCATCAGTCGACTTATTTTTAATGAATTGTGAATAAATGTGGTTTCAGATTCAGATTCATTTTATGTGCCATGTGCAGTATAAAGTTTGAGTGTGACATGAGCTGGTGTCTGTGGTGTCGTGGTCAGGTGGAAGGCGCGGCGTACGTGGGTTCGTTTGTGTGGAAGTCGGACCGTATCGGGATGTGGAACAACCCCCGAGGACAGAACATGCTGGACGGCGGGGCACCTTTCTACGACACGTACCGGACTGAAGACGGACGCTTCATGGCGGTGGGCGCTATCGAGCCGCAGTTCTACACACAGTTATTAAAGGGTATGTACCATAGACTATGTACACCTACACTGGATTAAAGATGTTTAAACACTTGGGTCACAGTTTAACCTTCTCTAATCAACAGAAAATGAAGTGTATAATTTATGGTTAATTAGCTCTTAATTGGTAGAAATAATTATAACAATGTGTCGATTTTATACAGCGCTTTTTTGGACACTCAAAGACGCTTCAAATGTCATTATGCCAAACACATAGAGCCATTGGTGTCTCTAAATCCCCATAAATATTCAGAATTGTAACTGTCTTAAGAACAACTTAGGAAAAAAATGGTGGGGAAAAAGTGAGAAACGTTGGGGAGGCTCCCTCGGGCAGACGGCTGCAGTGGTCGTTCTGAATTATTAAGAGGAAGAACAAAACCTGTGGGGACTAGATACATATAGATGGATGCATATAGAGAAATACATAACCGATGAATACATATTGGTTTCAAAACATGTGACTGGAAATAGCCTGGGCAGGAGGGACAGTGGTGATGATCCAGGACACACAACAACATTTATGGACCAAGTGTTTTCATCTTTGCACATCTTGTGTTTGAACTGTTTGATCTCGTACACTGCAAAAACGTATAAAATCTGAGGTAATACTTGCTTGAATCTAGGGGTGGCCGATATACTGTATATTGTAGACAATAATATCGCAAAAGTGAATTTGAAGATATGCTTTTTCCCTAATATATATATATATATATATATATATATATATATATATATATATATATATATATAAATATATATAAAGCAGCCAATCACTGCTTTATTTGTACAGTTCAGTAAATATTGAGCCTTTTTGGATGTGTTCTTCCCTTGTTACTTGAATTTGAAAAATGCTTATTACTTCATAAAAGTTGTATTAAAATCCGTAATTCAATTGAAAACTTGATTTTGCTTGTGTATAAGTGCTGAAGCCAATAATTCCCTTTGGCTGACGTGTCCACAATTTGATACAGAAATCAGACAAAAAGATTCTCCAAGTTTAACATCTGCATTTAATTATCTTTACAATCAGATACAGAATATTCAACAAAAGAGAGCTCTTAAAAGCTAATCCATGTCCCTCTCTGGCCCTCGTCTGGTCTGGTCTGAGGCTGGTCTTCCTGTTTGCTCTCCTCGTCCTTGGGGGCTGCCGGAAAAGGGATTCACACATTCCAACCTATAGCTTCTTCCTTATAAGGAAGAAGCCCTTCTCCAAACAACTCTTATCTGGCTGGGGGAGGTCTGGTCCGGGCTTGGTCCTTCTCTGAATTCCCCTAGATCCAGGCTTAATATTTGCACAAAGACATGGTATGCAAACACCTACTGAAAATCATTAGTATACAACATTTTAATTATACAACAGTGCTGACTAGAAACTTAGTGTGACGAGGAGCGGCGCTGTTAGAACGAGGTTGCGTCCTCTAGCCTCTACAGCACTGATAAATACATTAGCATGTTAGCATAAGTGGCTGTAACTGCAGACACAGCAAAACAGCCCAAACGACACAACAGTGAGGAAGAGAAGAGGGAACTAAAGCCAAAAAATGATCAAAGAAAAAATAAAGCCCGGGTGAACATAGCTAGCTTACATGGTATCCTCGCTTTGTAAAGTCCTCTGGGATAACTACAGATGTGATTCAAGGCTGTACAAAAATGAATGGACTTGAATGAAACACACTCTCTATGTTTCTGCTCAGGTTTGGAGCTGGACTCTGCAGATCTCCCGCCGCAGATAAGCTTCGACGACTGGCCCAAACTGCGGCAAATATTCACCGATAGATTCGCATCAAAGTCTCAGTCGGAGTGGACCAGAATATTCAAAGACACGGACGCCTGCGTGACTCCCGTCTTGTCTTTTGAAGAGGTGGCCGCACACCCTCACAACCAGCAGAGGGGGTCGTTCATCAAAGACCTCAGCGGGGAGGAGAGCCCCAGACCCGCTCCGGTCCTGAACAGAACCCCCGCCGAGCCGAGCCTGAAGCCGGACCCTGTGATCGGGGAACACACGGTGAGGGTCCTGGAGGAGTACGGCCTCACGATGGAGCAGATCGAACGGCTACTGGCAGAGGGTGTTGTAGAGTCTCGCACCACTAAAGGAAAATTGTGAAGTATTTCAAGAATTGTGGAAACGAAACATGGAAAACTGAGGGATCCCGAGACTACACTGCAAAAAGTGATGGGTAAAAATGGCTCAGATTGTCTTAATTTGAGCGGATTCTGACTGATTTAAAACAAGATTCCTCAATGGGACAAAGCAAAATTATCTTACTTTTAAAAGATACAATAAATGTCTCCTTTGGAATGAGAAAAGAAAGCAAAATCTTGAAATAATACTAAATGGCTTTGTCGAATTGGTTTTAACACAGTCTGAATGTCAAATTTAAGATGAAAAAAAACACTCAATTCCAGCAATTATTAGCTCATATTTTATCATTTTTTGCAGTGTAGGTTCCTAACATCTTACCTCTGCTGCTAGATTTCCTGTAGGAGACTTTGTGCCGCAGTAATCATTGCCTTAAGCTTAAACTTGTAAATGTTTATAGCAATTTGTCCAAGTATTTCACAATGTCATGTTTTTCTTGATTCAAACTAAATAATTATTAAAGTAGATTGACTGTAAGTTGGTCTGTTGTGCAGTTATGTTTGGTTTTGTATAGCACGGTTCATAAACAAGGCGACTCCAAGTGCAACTAGACAGATGGATAGATACTGTAAACAAGATAGAAACTATCACACAAGGCATTAAAGTCAATAAATATTCACATGATGCAATGAAGCCTTCTCATACTGTGGATCACAATAAAGCAAACAAAAGCACAAGTAGAGCACAGACTTCTGCCAAGAAGCGTAGTTCGATTCTTTTAGTCCT